AAGAAGAAGGTTGTGCCCTCTTCTTACACATACACAGCCATCAGTTCAGAGTGGATTAAGACTTAAGCATACAACTGTAAAACTCCTAGAAGAAAACAGAGAACAAGTGTCTTGGCAATGATTTCTTGGATATGACACTAACAGCACAGGCGGCAAAAGCAAAAACAGACAAATGGGACAACATCAAACAAAAACGCTTCTGCGCAGCAAAGGAAATCATTAGCAAAGTGAAAAGGCAGCCTGTGGAATGGGAGAAAATAGTTCACGAATCATGTGTCTGATAAAGGGTTAGTATCCAAAGTAATAAGGAGCTCACATGACTCAATAGCAACAGCCCCCCAAAACAACCCCTCTGCCACTCAAATCCCCCAAAACAACACCAAAAAATGATTAAAAATGGGCAAAAGACCATTTCTCCAGAGAAGACATACAAACGGCCTACAGGTAAGTGAAAAGATGTTCGACATCAATAATCCTCAGGAAAATGCAAATCAAACGCACGATGAGATGGTACCTCACAACTGTTAGGACAGCCATTCTGAAAAAGTCAAAAGCTAAGTGTTTAGAAGGATGTGGAGAAAAGTGACCCCTTATACCTGTCGGTGGAAATGTAAATTGGTAAAGCCATTACGGAAAACAGGTATTTATAGAAATACCACATGATCCGGCAATCTCACTTCTGGGTATATACCCAAAATAATTGGAATCAGGATCTCAAAGAGCTATGTGAGTTTCCATGTTTATTGCAGCATTAGTTACAATAACAAAGCCATGGAAACAACCTAATTGTCTATAGACAATAGAATAAAGAAAATGCGTGTATACGTGTAGTGGAATAGACTCAGTTTTAAAAAAAGAAGGAAATCCCGCCATTTGCTACTACATGGATGAACTTGAAAGACGTCATGCTAAAGGAAAGAAACCAGACACAGAAGAACAAATGCTCTATGGTCTTACTTATATCAGAAATCGAAAACAGTGAAACTCAACAGGCAGAGAGTAGTGTTACCAAAAGCTGAGGGTAAGGGGAATCAGGGAGATGTTGGTTAAAGGGTATATGGTTGCATTCATGCAAGATGAAGAAGGTTAGAAATCTGTAGAGCATAGTGCATATAGTTAACAATATTGTGTGCTTAAAAACGTCTTAGAAGAGAAGATCTTAGATTAAATGTTCTTATCAAAAAAGAAAGAGGGAAGAAACGGATGACAGTCACATCTATGGTATTGTATATGGTGGTGGCTTCATAAGTATATACATACATATCTTCAAACTCATCAAGATGTATACATTAACTATATACGGCTTTTTTGTATGTCAATCATAACTCAAGAAAATTAACTACTTAGAAATAAAGGAAGGAAGGAAGGAAGGAAGGAAGGAAGGAAGGA